ATTTTAATGCTGTCTTATTTTTACATGGTAGTCATTTTAAAAAGTATCATTCTGACCCAGTCAGCCTTCCTGAACACAAACCACTTTTCTGTAATAGGACATCCACAAAATTTGAAACCATTAAAAAAATGGAATCATCTTACTTTTAGTTAAAATCTTAAAAAAAGACTAAGGCAAATGTTTTAGGAAATATACATCTGCATACAGACATATGAGGCAGCACATGTTGTATATAATATATGTATATATGAATGTATGTACATACATGTAGATATGTGTATGTGTATTTGTGTATAGGAGGCATTTAGGTGGTAGAGGGGATAGAGTGTGGGATTTAGACTCAAGAAGGCCTGAGTTTGAATCTGGCTTCAGACAATTACTAGCTGTATGATCCTGGGCAAGTCACTTAACTTATATGTCTCAGTTTCCTCATCTGTAAAATGGGGATAATAATAGCACTTAACTCACAGGGATATTGTGAGGATCAAATGAGTAAATGTGTAGAATGATTTTATTATTATATATATTATATATGTTATATTATCTATTATGTATGTGTGTGTACATGTATATATATATATATATATATATATATATATATATATATATATATATATATATATATATACACACACACACATATACATATATACAAATATGTACGGTTAGTTCTACTGTAATGAGACAGATATCTTCTTAAAAATCACTGCATGTTCAAATTTGTCCAATAAAAACCACAGGGCTTATGGGGGAAATAGGATTGAGGCTGTCAACCTAGGGAAAAAAAACAAACCTCAGACCAACTAGGTAATCGGTAAATAAGGTAAGGTATTTATTCAGGTTCGGGGAATTAACAGCATCCTGCCATATTCAGACCAGGATGCTTGGGGAGCAAGAGGAGAAGGGGATTCTTATAGCTGGTAGTCATGGGAAACAGCAGGACAGGGGTTCTAGATAGGCAGAGTGGCTGGGCTGCAGGAAGGCTGTGTTGAAGGTGCTGAGGGACTGCAAAATCAAGGTCATAGAAATATCCTTAGAACTATCTCTGTGTGGGAACGGGGGGCAGTTAGGAACGGCAGGGGTGTGCGGGGGTCTTCTTGGGGACAGTTGGACACTACTGGTCACAGCAGGGTAGGGACCTAGATTTTCCCAGGGGTTGACAAGGTATAATACTCAAAAAATATCAACAGTGATATATGTATCTCCCTATATATGTATGCGTGTGTATGTATCTCACTATGTATGTATACATGTTTATATATGTTACTATATATACATGTTTGTGTATCTCACTATATATGTATACATGTGCATATATCTTATTATGTTTGTATACATGCGTATATATCTATATTACTATGTAAGTACATATGCTTGTACACCTCACTATATATGTACACACATGCATACACGTATGTATGCACACATGTATATATCTCACGGTGTGTATATGCATGTGTATATATCTATATTACTGTATATGTATACATGTGTGCACATCTCACTATATATGTATATATGTGTATATATATTTCCCTATATATGTACACATGTGTATCTTACTATGTATATATTACTGTATAAGGATGCCTGTTTATATATTGCACTATATGTTCATATGTATACATACACATGTATACATATGTACATATCTTACCGTGTATGTATGCATGTGTATATCTATATTACTGTATATGTATACATGTATATCTCGCTATGTACACGTGTGTATACATCTTACTATGTATTTATACAGGTGTATATGTCTCACTATATGTGTATACATGTGTATGTATCTCTCTATAGATGTATACATGTGCACACATCTCACTATGTATGCATACATGTGTGTATATATCTATATTACTATATATGTATACATGTTTATATATCTCACTATATATACACATGTGTGTATATCTCACTATGTATGTATACATATGTATATATCTCACAATGTATGTATACTGTTACTATATATGTATATATGCTTCTATACCTCACTATATGTGTGTGTGTGTATATATATCACTACGTACACATATGTGTATATATCTTATAATATATACATATCTGCATATCTCACTATGTATGTATACATGTGTATATATTTCACTATGCATGTATACATGTGTATATACATATGTTATAATATATGTATATATGCTTACATACCCCACCATATATGCACACATCACATACATGCACACATATGTATACACACGTGTATATAGCCATATGTACACTGCTTATATGTTTCACGACGTATGTATGCATGTGTGTATATGTCTATATTACTGTATACGTACGCATGTGTATATATCTCACTTTATATGCATACGTGTGTCTATCTCACTGTGTATACATGTGTGTACATCTCAATATAGTGTATACATGTGTGTATATCTTACTGTGTAGGTATACGTGTGTATATATCTTACTATGTATGTATACATGTGTGTATGTATACATCTCACTATATATGTATATGTGCATATACCTCACTATGTATGCATGTGCACATATCTCACTATGTATATATGCACATGTATGTATACACGTGTATATCTCACCATATTATGTGTATATGTGTATATACCACACTATATGTATGTGTATATATTTTACTATGTATGTATACATGTGTATATATTTTACTGTGTATACACATGTGTATGTATACATATCATTATAGTATGTATACACATGTATATATCTCACCATATATGTATGCATATGTATATATATCTGTATTACTATATACACATGTGTGCATGTATCTCTATTATTATATATGTATATACCTCACTATATATGTATACATGTGTATATATCATATTATGAAATATGTATACCTGTGTATATATCTGTATCACTATATCTGTATACATTTATATAAATGTGTCTCACTATAGAGGTATACATGTATATATATATCTCACTGTGTATATATACATATGTGTGTCTCACTATAGATGTATACATGTGCGTGTATCTCACTGTGCATGTATACATGTGTATATGTATATCTCACCATATTATGTGTACACACACACACACGCACATATATACACATCACAGTATATTATATGTACGTGTATATATTTTACTATGTATGTATACATGTGTATATGTCTTACTATATATACATGTGTGCATGTATATATCTCATTATATTATACATACATGTGTAGATATCTCACTATATATGTATACATGTGGATATATCTTACTATATATATTTATATCTCACTATATATGTGTGCATGTATCTCTATTACTATATATGTGTATATCTCACTATATATGTATACATGTGTATATATCATATTATGATATATGTATACCTGTGTATATATCTATATCACTATATATGTATATATTTGTGTAAATATATCTCACTATAGATGTATACATGTATGTATATCTCACTATGTATGTGCATATCTCACTGTGTATATATACATATGTGTATCTCATAGATGTATACCTGTGTATATATCTATATTACTATATATGTATACATGCATATATCTCACTATGTATGTATACGTGTCTCTCTATGCATGTATATGTATGTATCTCACTATGTATACATGTGTGTATCTCACTATAGATGTATACGTGTATCTATCAATATTACTATATATGCATAATATATCTTACCACAGATGTATGCATATATCTGTATTACTATATATGTTTACATGTGTATGTCTCACTGTAGATGTGCACACATGTATATGAGCATGCAAACATTTTTATAGAGGAGAGGCCCACCTCTGTGACCTTGGCCAAGTCACTTCTCAGTGTCTTAGGCAATTCTCTAAGATTATGGATGGTACAGAAAGTGCCCATCTACTTTGGTAGAGGGAGATCCCCTCTGGGAACTTAAGTCACAGGTCCCCTCTCTTTCTCTAAACAGGTAAGTTTGATCATTTTGATGACCCATAATTGATACCTGGACTGTTCCTTTGACTTTTTTAGAATGTTCAGACTGTCCAGTCTTGGCTGGCAGGCGGACCCACAACCGTGAAACTTAACACGGACCTTCCTGACCACATGTTGGATCAGGCCTTTCGTACTCTGAGGGAAGCAGTGAACCTGAATTTACAAGGACCGAAGGAGCACTTTAATGAATACGGTGTGTGGTGCCAGGCTGGCTCCCAACCCCCGACCTTAAAACATCAATAACAAAAATAACTAAACCCTCGTTTTTGTGGATTGGCATTTTGACACCCCTCTTGTATTTGCCTGTTACTCAAGAGGAGATGTGGGTCATTACGTGATAGAACTGGGAAGGCCCTTTGAGAAATTCTCGTCTGATACCAGGGTCTTCTGGATCAAGGACATTTAGTCTCAGAGAACTGAAGTGATTTGTCCAAGATCCCACAAGGACAGACCTTGGGCTGGGACCTTGGGCTCCTGAGTCCTTGGCCTGGCAGGCTCCGCCCTGTGTGGAGGTCCCCCTCTCCCAGGAGGAAAGCCAGAAGTGGCCACCTCCCCAGGAAGCTGCAGGGGTTGAAAGCACATGGTCTCTTTAGATACTTTCCTGAATATGGTGGTTGGAATTGAAGCCCTCATTCCAAACTCCAGTTCCTCAGTAAGTCCTGAGACTTCCAGAGAAGAGTGGTGGCCCTTGGACACTGGAAGGTGACCAAGGGCCTCATGGCTTTTCATGGGAAAAGCCTGGTTTGAGTGCTGGGCTTTTTTTCTCTGAAAACTGGTTGTCTGCAGATGGCCCATTAGAAAAACCTCAATTAACCAGATTATTCAATGCGGCAGAATACCCATTCCCCATTCAGCACTGACAACACTAAATTCACTGGAATTTAAAAATTTTGATCTAATTTTAATTTGATGATTAATTTTCAGTTGAAAAATATAGTTGGCTTATCAATGGGACTGCAGTCGACCAAATACAAACATTTCAGGCAGAGGATCACACTTTTGATGAGTACACTGAGGTGAGTCTTCATTCTCTTTTTTATGCATGAAATCTGAGGTTCTTAATTGTAAAATTTGGGATGCATTTTTTTTCCTAAAAATGTAGCACCATCTGAGGCATACTCCTATGGGGGCTAAGTAGATTTGCTTGCTTCGGCAAATCACTTCATCACAGCTGGCATTTACACAGCAATTTAAGGGTGTACAACGCTTTATACATAGTTCTCTCATCTGAGGCCCACAATGATCCTGGGAGATGGGTGCTGTTATTATGCCCATTTTACAGATGAGGTTGAAGGTCACACAACTAATAAATGTCTCAGGCGGGATCGGAACTCAGGTCTTCTTGACTCTAAGCTGAGCATTCTTTCTGCTGGACCACTTAGATGCCTCTCTGTGCCCAGGTTTTCCCATCTGTAAAAGGAAGCAGTTGGACTCTTAGGGACATTCCTGCTCCAAATCTGATTCATTGATCCATTTTTAGTAAATTCCTAGGTACTTTAATATTGTATTTGGTCCCCAATCTCATCAATGGTACAGATAGGGAATCATCCCAGCTTTCTTTCTAATAATGTTGGGGGGTTTTTTTGGGGGGGGCGGGGTGAGGCAGTCAGGGTTAAGTGACTTGGCTAGGGTCACACAGCTAGTAAGTATCAAGTGTCTGAGGCTGGATTTGAACTCAGGTCCCCTTGACTCCAGGGCCAGTGCCCTATCTACTGCACCACCTAGCTGCCCCTTAATAATGTATTTCTTGAATGATATCTTTTAACTTTGGGGACATAAGTCATAATTGGTAATAGAGATAAATAGTTCTATACAATTGCACACAAAAGGACATATAGAACCAGATACTGTGGAGGTGCCCAGTAACTGGGGATTGGCTGAACAAACTGTAGTATAAGAACGTAATGGAATATTATTATATTTTCTCTTGTTCCCACCCGCTCCCCTGGGAAAGAAAAAAAGATGAAAAAAAAACCCTTTGTAACAAATTCTCACGTGGGCCATGTACAAAAATGTATGTCATTGTACATAATGAAAACATGGCTATTAGGTCATCGGCAAAAATGGGCCGAATTATCCATACCTTCCTGTGCACTGTGGATTTGTTCCATGCCCTCCTCTATTACAGATCCTTCACTGAGGCTTTACCCCACGTTCTAGAGATCTTTGTCTCGATCCGAGATTATAAACTTTGGGTTTGTGAGCTTAAAAAAAGTTGTTTTTTAAAAATAATGGTATTTCAACATCATTGATTTCCTTTGTAATCCTCTGTATTTTATTTTATGCATTTAAAACATTGTCAGTTTAAAAAATTAATTTAAAAGGTAAGATAAGATAAAAACATTTGTACATAAGATGAATGGAAACATTGAGAATATTGAGTTTTAGCAGCAGCATGGGTTCAGAAGAAACGGTAAAAAGTTAGAGAATAATTGAAGTCACAGGTTACAGAAACCTTTCAGAACTCTGTAAGCTCTTCTGGAGGTTTTCTGGACTGCAGTGTCTAAACTACCCATAGTTCCTTGCTGTGAGCCAAGCCTTTAGAAACACAACAAAATGGTAGACCTCGCACGGAAGGGTCTGGCCCTGGCTCTCAGACAGGGAGAGGGGAGGTTTCTGAGAGGCAGTGTGTGGCGGTGGAAAGGCTGCTGGATTTGGAGCCACAGGGCCTGGTCTGTCTGGGCAGTCATGTCTGGTGGGGACCAGGCTCCTGGCTAAGATTCTTTTGTGTGTTCTCAAGAAGAACCTGCTGCTCCCAGCCCAGCACCGCTGGAGCCACACTGCATTGGTGGCCGTCCCTCCTCTAGGGCGACTACTGAAGATTCCTGGCAGTTATGCTTGGTCATTTGTGACCGTGGGACGTTGGCCCTACATGACTTATTCTATCAGAAAGCCTCTGTGTGTTCTGGCTGATCACAAAGGCTGCCCTTAGGTCGTGAGTGGTTGTGTGGCTAAGGTGAGCTCATGCTGCCCTCCCTATACATGAGCAGTAGGAGAGAGTGTGCTAAGTGGCTTGAGGAGAACACACCAGATAGTCAACGTGGAGGCCAGGACTATAATTGGGACGGGCATTCCTCTCATGCTTGGGATGCACCCTGGACCTACTGCCTGGAAACTGTACCAGCAAGAGCCAATCCCCGCAGCCCATCTGAGGAAGCCTGATTTCCAGTGATGCTCCTGATGGAATTCTTTTTGAGAAATTTTACCTTAAGGAATCTCTAGTTTAAAGTTTTGATCTTGCCATTGTGACTGTTCAGAAGTACATAGATCTTGGTGCATTTGAAAGCAAACATTTCTCTTCTGTTTATGATAAAAAAAAAAGATGCATTGATGCTCCCTCCTTCTCTCCTTCTCTCTCTGTCTCCTAAATCTATCCCTTCCCTTCCAAAAATCTCTGATGCCGTCTCCCCCCAAAGCCCCAACTTCTTTGTAATTAAAAAGCATGTTCAATCAAAACAGATCCATACACTGGCTGTACAACAATGCATGTCTCGTTCTGCACCTTGAGGCAGGCAGCTCTCTCTCGGAAGGTGAGAAGCATGCTTCGTCGTCGGTCCTCTGGAGCTGTTATTGCTCATTATGTTGACCAGAGTTCTTAAAGTTTTCAAAGTTGTTTTTCTTTACAATGTGTAATTGCTATAAAAATTGTTCTAGTTCCATTCACTTCACTTGGCATCAGTTCATACAAATCTTCCTAGGTTTCTCTTGAATTGGTCCCTTTCATCATTTCTCTAACTATAAAGACTTGGCTGTCTGTTTTTCCATATGATTAATTATTCATTTAAACATTTAATCACTTTACCATTTGGTGCATATATATGTACATATGTATATATGTAATATTGCTGCTTTTTAACATAATGCAGTGCCTTTTCCCCTATTTTTATTGTTGCTTTGTCTGAGATCATGATTGCTGCCTTTACTTCTGAGTTCACTTGAAACACAATAAATTCTGCTTTAAGCCTTAATTTTAATTTCCTGTGAATGTTTATGTTTTAAGTGTGTTTCTTAAAAACAACTTACTTTTTGGATTCGCTTTCTAATGTAGCTTGTGGTCCTGTTCCATTTTGTCATTTGTGTTCGCTGTCATGATGACTAATTCTGTATTTCTCTCCATCATGTCCTCTTCCATTTTTCCTCTTTTTTTGCCTCACCCTTTAAAAAGATGGTGAAAGAGAGGGACTGTGATCATTATGGGTGATCTGTAATTGAAGTGACCTGTTTTCACTCTGCTTCCCCTCCTGTCTTTCCCTTGCCCAGACCCCAACTGCTGGCTCTTATGCTTTCTTTCCTTTTGATTTCCCTTTTCCTCTCCCATCCGCTAAAATTGAAGGGGTTTTTAGTTTGTGACTCTTCTCTTCCCAACTCTTAAATCTCTCTTTCACTTTCTCCTCTCTCTGCTTGTTTCTGTGACAAGTTAATGTATAATGACGCTAAAGTCTTCTGTGTGTGTATGTGTGTGTTAAATCCTCCTTGGCTTGGTTCAGATAAGAGGGAGGTGGTAGTGATGCCCACTCCCTTCCCCTTTCCTTCACGTTTGTGTCTTCTTGGGCACCCCAATCATAAGAAATAGAAGTTCCTTCCTTCCTTCTTTCCTCATCTTCCTTTTGGCCTCTCTTTTCTTTCCTCCCTTGAGATCACCCAAGCACGCCAAAACCATTTCCCTTTGTCTCCTTGAATTCAACCTGTAACCTTTGGAGATTTTTATTGTTGTTCAGTTGTGTCCAGCCGTCCTAAAGTGGTTTGCCATTTCCTTTTCTGTATCATTTTACAGATGAGGAAACTGAGGCAAAAAGGCTTAAGTGACTTGCTCAGAGTCACAGTCAGTATGTGTCAGAGGCTAGATTTGAACTTGGGTCTTCCTGATTGCCACCTAACTGCCCTACCCTTGAAAATATTAGGATGCTAAAAAGGCAAGTCTAGGCACATAAGCAGCAGTTAGCCCCTCCCAAAATCTCAAATAGATTTACATTTCTAAGCTTTTGTTGACTTTTGTGTTTGCATTTCAAAGTTTTTATTCAGTTCTGATCTTCATCAGGAATGCTTGAAAGTCCTCCAGTCCATTACAGGCCCACCCCCCGTCCCTCCCTTTTAGGATTCTATTTAGTGTTGCACGGTAAGTGATTCCTGGTTGTAAGCCTGGACCTTTGGGAATATCATAAGCCAAGACTGTCTCCCTTTTCTAGCAGGTCGCGTGTGATCCTGACTACGGATTCTTGGTGCTTTAAGCTTTGACTGTGGTACCGCTTGCATTATGCTTTTTCTTTGACCTGGAAGCTCTATTTTTTGTCTAGGACACTTCTGAGAGTTTGGGGGATTTCTTTCAGGAGAGCGATTAGTGAGGTCTTTCTGTTTTCACTGGAGAAGTATATTACACGCATTTTTTTGGGTTTGTTTTTCTAGAAATATTAAGAAATAATGTTTTTCTCTAAAGCCCTTTCTAGACTCCTGGGAAAAGCCCCGTGGAAAGGTAGAAAATAGGATTTAGACAAAAGGAAAAAGAGCCGTGCACTGGGTACATGGATTAAGGGTGATAATATGAAATTTAACAAGGAATGTTCCTAGTTTAGATAAACCTAGATTTGGATTGAGTCTCCAGGCCTGTGGTCTTGGAAGACTCAGCTTCCTGAGTTCAAATCTGGCCTCAGATACTTACTAGCTGTGTGATCCTGGGCAAGTCACTTCACCCTGTTTGCCTCAGTTTCCTCATCTGTAAAATGAGCTAGAGAAGGAAATGGCAAACCACCCCAGTATCTTTGTCAAGAAAACCACAAATGGGGTCGTGAAAAGGATTGAAACAACTGAACAACAGCAAATTTGTCTTTATCATTGATATCTTCAGGGGTATATGTGTGATAGTGGCCTTTCTGGGTCAAAGGATATATTTGTTTTAGTTGTTTTCTATTATTTCAAATTACTTTCATTTAAAAATTTTTATTTATTTTATTTTTAATTTATGGAATAAAATGAGCATTTCTATAACAGTATATTTAAAAAAGATGATTGCACATGAAACTACAGATCTGTTATGTACAACTTGCTATTCCTTTTAAATATATAATAAAGTTATGATGTCAGTTTCTTTTTTTCACCCATTTTTCCCTTCCCCCCTGCCCTAGGGATGGCTGCCATTTGACACAAATATATATATATATATATATATATATATATATATATATATATATATATATATATATGTAAAATCATTCTATACATCTATTTATCAGTTCTTCCTCTGAATGCAGATAGCATCTTCCTTCATACGTCCTTTATAGTTAATTTGGGTATTTATATTAGTCAAGATGACTTATTTGCACAAAGTTGTTCTTAAAACAGTATTGCTGTTACTGTATATGATTTTCTCTTGGTTCTGCTCATTTCACTCGTTATTATTTCATGTAAGTCTATCCATGTTTTTCCAAGATCATTGAGTTCATCATACCTTATAGCACAGTAATATTCCATCACATTCTGGTACCACAACTTGTTCAACCATTCCCCAGTTGATGGGCATCCATACAATTTTCAGTTTTTTGCCACCACAAAGAGAGCTGCTATAAATATTTTAGAACAAAGAGGTTTTTTTCCTTTTCCCCTAATTATATTTGGAAATAGATCTAGTAGTGGTATTGCTGGGTTAAAGGGTAAAGGCAATTTAATAATTCTTAGGTCATAATTCCAGATTGCTATCCAAAATGGTTGGATCAGTTCACAATTCTACCAACAATGAGTCAGCGTCCCAATTTTTCCATATCTCCTCCAGCATTTGTTGCTTTCCCCTTCAGTCATTTTAGCCAGTCTGATAGGCATAAAATGATATCTGAAGGTTGGTTTAATTTGATTTAGAGCTTTTCTTCATATGATGGTAAATTGTTTTGATTTCTTCATTGGAAAACTGCCTATTCATATCCTTTGAGGATTTATCAATTGGGAAATGACTAGTTCTTGTAGATTTTACAAACTTCTTTACATATTTAAGATATGAGGCCTTTATCTGAAAAATTGTCTATAATTCCCCCCACCCCAATTTTCTGCTTTTCTTCTGATCTTGGCTACATTTGTTTTATTTGTACAAAACCTTTTTACTCTAATGTAATCAAAATTATCCATTTTATACCACATTCTGCTCTCTATCTCTGTTTATTCATAAATTGTTCATGTCTGATAAGTAATATGTTCCATATTCTTCACATTTTCTTGTAATATCTTTATATTTAGGCCATGTATCCATTTTGACTGTATCTTGGTAAATTGTGTAAGATGTTGGTCTATGCCCAATTTCTGCCATACTGCTTTCCAGTTGTCTCAACAATTTTTACCAAATAATGTATTCTTATCCTAAAATCTTAAGTTTTTACATTTGCCAAATACAAGGTTACTGTATTTATTTGCTGCTGTAAATTGTATGTCTGCTCTGTTTCATTGATCTACTTTTCTGTTTCTTAGCCAGTATCAGATGGTTTTGATAATTATTGCCTCATAATATAGTTTAAGATCTGGTACTTCTAAACTTCCTTTCTTTACTTTTTTTTTTCATTATTTCCTTTGATATTCTTGCCTTTTTGTTCTTGCATATGAATTTTTAAATTTTTTCTAATTTGGCAAAATAATTTTTTGGTAATTTAATTGGGACGGCATTGAATATATAAATTAGTTTAGGTAAAATTATCATTTTTATTATATTGGCCTTACCTACTTATGAACAATTAATATTTCTCCAATTATTTAAATCTGATTTTGTTTATATAAAAAGTTTTTTATAATTTTGTTTATGTAGTTCCTGGGTTTGTTTTGGCAGGTCTACTGTCTAGAGTTATTTTAAATGGGATATCTCTTCCTGTCTCTTCTTGCAGGGGTTTGTTTGTGATATATAGGAATGCTGGTGTGGATTTACTTTATATCATGCTACTTTGCTAAAATTATTAATAGTTTCAACTAAGTTTTAAATTTAATTTTTGGTATTTTCCAAGCATATCATCATATTTTCTGCAAAAAGAGATAGTGTTATTACCTCATTCCCTATTCTGATTGCTTCTATTTCTTTGTCTTCTCTTTTTGCTATTGCTATGATTTCCAATGCAATATTGAGTAATATTGGTGACAGTAGACATTCTTATTTCACACCTGATCTTACTGGGAAGGCTCCTAGCTTATCCTCATTACAAATAATGCTTGCTGATGGTCTTAGATAAATGTTTGTTTGTTTTTTGTCAATTTAAGGAAAAATCCATTTATACCTGTATTTTCAAATTTTTTTGAATAGAAATGAGTGTTGTACTTTATCAAAGCCTTTTCTGCTTCTATTGATAGAATCATATGATTTTTAAAAACTTTTATTATTGCTATAATCAATTATGGTATTAGTTTTCCTTATGTTAAACCATCCCTGCATTCCTGGTATAAATTCTCCTTGGTCATAATGTATACTCTTTGTAGTATGTTATTGTTATCTTTTAGCTAGTTTTTTATTTAGGATTTTTGCATCCATATTCATTAATGAAATTGGTCTATAATTTTCTTTCTTTGTTTCTCCTCTTCCTAGTTTAGGTATCAATCAGTATCATATTTGTTGCATAAAAGGAGTTTGGTAGGATCTCCTCATTCCCTATTCTTTCAAATAATTTATTTAATATTAGAATTAGTTGATCTTTAAATGTTTATAAATTTCACTTTGTAAATCCATCTGGTCCTAGTGCTTTTTTCTTAGGAAGCTTATTAATGGCCTGTTCAATTTCTTCTTCTGCTTCTTTTTTTTTTTTTGGGGGGGGGGGCCATAGGGATTAAGTGACTTGCCCAAGGTCACATAGCTAGCAAGTGTTATATATCTGAGGCCAGATTTGAGGTCAGGTCCTTCTGAGTCCGGGGCCGATGCTCTATCCACCTCATCACCTAGCTGCCCCCTCAAAAATAGATGTGTTTAGATAATCTGTTTCCTTTTCTGCTAATCTAGCAATTTATAGTTTTATAAATATTCTTCCATCTCACTTACATTGTTAAATCTATAGGCATATAATTGGTCAAAATAACCCCCTATAATTGCCTTAATTTCATCTTCATTAATGATATATTCACTCTTTTCATTTTTAATATTAGTCATTTGATTTTCTTCTGCCTCTTTTAAAAATCAAATTAACCAGTGGTTTATCTGTTTTAATGTTTTTTTTTTCATAAAGCCAACTCCTATTTTTTTATATATTAATTTAAATGGTTTTTTACATTTGGTTTTATTAATTTCACCTTAATTTTTAGGATTTCCTGTTTACTGTTTACTTGGGGATTTTTAGTTTGTTCTTTTTCTAAATTTCACTTTAATTTTTAGGATTTCCTGTTTACTGTTTACTTGGGGATTTTTAGTTTGTTCTTTTTCTAGTTTCTTTTTTTAATTACCTACCCAATTCGTTGGTCTGCTCTTTCTCTATTTTGTTGACTGATATCTCATTTAGAGATGTCTGTTTTCCTCTAATCACCGTTTTTGGTGTTGCTTATAGGTTTTGATACGTTATCTCCTTGTTGTCATTCTGTTCAATGAAATTATTGATTTGTTAGAAAATATGATTTGTTCTTTAACCCATTCATTCTTTAAGATTAAGTTGTTTAATCTCCAGTTAATTTTTAATCTATGTTTCTGTGGTCCCTTATTAAATAGAATTTTTATTGCTTTGTGATCTGAAAAGGTTACTTTTAATATTTCCGTTTTTCTACTTTTAACTATAAAATTTTTATGTACTAATACATGGTCAGTCTTTGTAAAGGTACCATGAACTGCTGAAAAAAAGGTGTATTCCTTTCTATTTCTGTTCAGTTCTCTCCAGATAGCCATCATATCTAGCTTATCTAAAATTCTATTTGTTTTCTTGACTTCTTCCTTATTTATTTTTTGGTTAGATTTATCTGGTTCTGAGAGGGGAAGATCAAAGTCCCCCACTCTTATAGTACTACTATCTAGCTCCACCTGTAATTCATTTAACTTTTCTTTTAAAAATTTAGATGCTGTAGTATTTGGAGCATATAGGTTCAGTACTGACATTGCTTCATTGTCTGTGATGCCTTTTATCAAAATGTAGCTGCCCTATTTATCTCTTTTAATTAAATCTATTTTAGCCATAACTTTGTCTGAGATCATAATTGCTAGCCTGGCCTTTTTTGTGTCAGCTGAAGCATAATAAATTCTACTCCAACTCTCTATTTTGACTCAGTGTGTATCTCTCATTCTTAAATGTGTTTCTTGTAAACAACATATTGTTGGATTCCGATTTTTAATCCATTCTGCTATCCATTTCTGTTTTTTGGGTGAGTTCATTCCATTCACGTTCAAAGTTATGATGACTGTTTGTGAATTTCCCTTCTTTTACTCACTATTGTCCTTCTCAGTGTCTCTTTTTACTGTATCCCAGTTACCTAATCTTTTCCCATTAGCCTCCTATTCCTTATTCTACTCACCCCCGTAAGAATCCCTCTTTTACCTTATCTTTTCCTCCACCCTCCTAAATCTTAATCTAAAAAGCTAAAAGTCCCTCCCCTCCCCTGTCCCCCAGTTCACTCACCTCTCTACAGGTCCAGAAGACTTTTACACCCCTCCAATAGATGTATAAGTTGTTCCCTCTTCAACTCAGATCCCATGGGAATAAGTTCCAGCATTTCCAATCTTCTCCCCCACCTGTTTCCTCTGTACCAGTTCTTTACATGCCCCATTTTTGTGAGATAATTTCTCCTTTTTTTTCATTTCCTGTCTGATTTTGTGTTTTAGAATCGCCCCATCATACACAACCCAGCCCCAAATTACTTTCCAGAATGATTGGTCCAATTCACAGCTCCATGGGCAATCCATTAGTGCCCATTGAAGGAAAAGATTTTCAGGCAGCTATAGAAAAATTAGCTTGTAATTGTAAATCAGTAAGATGAGAATTTCACTTAAGTACTACATGTAACCTTTTTTAAAAAATCAGTGATGATTTGATCATTCATTTGCAACATCCTTTCTTTTGTCTAACCTTTAAGCGGATAGAATACTTTTTAAACCTTGCTAAAGAAATCATGATGCTGCCGAATTTGGCTCACTTCCCCATGATACTTTTGGACTGTGATGATTTGAAGGAGGGACTGGTGAATAAAGTAAAAGGCTATGCAAATTTGCTTTTGAATGACATAGCTACAAAGCACAGAAATGAAAATGAAAGGTGAGTAGAATGGTTTTCCCAACCCATATATTGAATTCTAGAAATAGAACCTTTCTTTGGCTCATATTAACTCTTGAATGATTCCAGCTAGTGTTAGCACATTAAGTATCTATTGATTATGTTGGGCATTGCAGAGATACATAACAAAGGAAGGGGAATCCAAATGATACATATTTCTGGTTAATTTTAGATCTTGGAGGCTCTGTTGAATCACTCTATATTTCTGCCATCTGAATAACTCTTTGCTTAACTGCAGAGCTGAAAGCCACTCCATGCTGAGATAGTGTGTACTGGTTGTAGCTGGGGCTAATTTATCAGCATCGTGAACTGGCAGGGCTATGGCAACCTTCTGAGACCCAGCTTTCTTTAGGGCTACCTGTGACTTTTCAGCTATCTCTTTAGTGATTTTTTTGGTCAAGTTCTTTGCAAATCTGGGTCATCTGCACTCAGATTTTCTTTGGGAGTCAGGTTAGTGCACTTGCTTTGAATTCCCTTTACCATTGATTGGCTCTGTCAAGAGCACATGAGTTCCTTGCCCTGGAGAGACTTGCAATGGAGCTGGGAATAGAGATGATGGTAGTGTGGAGATAGACACCAATGGTGTGTCCAGAGAGCTGGCAGAATCATGAAAACCTCCATTTGTGTTCTTTCTCTGAGACATTGCTTCACTTCTCTGTTCTCCAGGAAACTTTCTGTTATAAATTGCAGAGAGGGTGCTGACTCATATCTGTATAGGGAGTTTTCTTGTTGGGAGTTCACTATACTAATGAAACCTCAGATCTGGTACCCCCCCAAAAATCCCCCACTAAGTCCTTGTGATTGTGCTAACAGGGTGAGGAGAGCCTAGGATATTTTAGAAATTCCGTGTCCTTTAAGCAAAATGACAAGACCTCACCTGAGAAGAGCTGACCCAGGATAGACAGAAAAGCACCCAGTTAGTACATTTCACATTAATCCTATACCGCTTCCTTTCTTTGAAAACTCTTGTGTTTCTTGTAGACAGTTTCAGGAGGGAAGAGAAGGGGTATAGACTGAGGAGATGGGAAAATGCCCCAAATACTACAGAATCCTTTTTGTTCTTAGAGCAGAGTTCCAATAAGGGGGGGGGGGTGTATCTCTGTGTGTGTGTGTGTGTCTGTGTGTGACTATACACAGGAGGTAGGAATTATACCTTTATCTATCCTGTTATTTATATGTATATATACATACATACATACATACATACATATAAATACACACATAAATGTTCTAAGTAAATGGCATATTAAAATTATTTGTATCTAAGAAAATGCTGCTTTAGATTTTGGAGGTATTCAAACTTCCCCTTTCTGAGTACTTTCTGATCTCAGTGTAGTTGTTAATGAGCTATAGCTTATTTCCTCCCTAGGTGATGATAAGGTCATGATGGAGGGTAGAATCTCACCCAGCCCCGACCAACCATTTTGCAAAAGGCAAGCCATGGTCACCTGGGGCACTCTCCTAGAAAAGACAAATAGATCAGTGTGAACCTGTCACCGCTCCTGCAAAAACAACTCTTATCCTACAGTTGAATGGTTTATAAAAGGCAGGCCTTGGCCTTTGCTTATTTCAGATAAATCCTGGGTTACAGACGAGGTCTCTTTGACGAAAGAGTGACTTGTGTTAGCAACCAGATGTTCATCTTCTAAGCTATCATAGTTCTGGTAATTCATAGTTGTTGGATTTAGTACAAAGTGGATTGGCAGAAAAATATTGAAACTCAGTGTCATTTACAGTATTTGCATCGAATTTGAAAATATTAAAGAACATGCACTGAAAGTTCCTGAAACGACAGAGGAGATGATGGAGCTGATAAGCTATGTGGAAAACGCCAGGACTAAAGGTGTCCAGGAACTGGCGCTAAGAATCCAGGTAAAATGTTTGTCATTTTTTTCAGGTGCATTATTTGTACAGTGAGAATTTTTTTTTGGTCTTTTGTAATATTTTTGAACTTGGTACAAAAGACCCAAGTCTTTGGTTTTTCATATACTTCCAAGCTTTGCTCAAGGTCCTTCTCCTTTCCTGACTCCTCTCTCTGCCCATTCACCCACAAGCTGTTCATGCCTCCTCGTGTCCCTGTGTTATCTTGTATTTATCTATGTTTCATCTTTGCTTATATTTCTCCTTGTTTCCCCCTATAGAATATCTTTTTGAGGGCAGGGGATGCTTCGTTTCTTGTCTTTGTATCTGTAACAGCTAGCATTGTTCCTGGCACATAGTAGGTGTTTCATAAATGTTTGCTGATTGCGGATTGGTAGATTTAAACATCAGTGAGGTCATTCAGCAAAACTTTGATTTTTTTGGTGATATTAGGGCTGTAACGACATCAAGAAACCCTATATCCTTTTCCTTTTCCTTGGGGTGAGTTTGGTTGTACTTCAGCTGAAATAGGGAACGTTGTCCAGCTCGAGAGGAAAACTTGTAGTCTCCAAGTGTATTAGATGAGTTGGTTTAAAAGCCCTTCTTTGAATTCAGTTCAATCAATCAACAAGCATTTTTTTCCCCCAATTTTATCATTTTTTTAGGCACTTGGGGTTGAGTGACTTGCTCAGGGTCACACAGCCAGTAAGTGTCAAGTGTTTGGTCTGAGGCCGGATTTGAACTCAGGTCCTCCTGACTTCAGGGCCAGTGCTGTATCCACTGAGCCACCTAGCTGCCCCTCAACAAGCATTTTTAAAGTGCCTACTGGGTAGATAGACACGAAAGCATTGATTAAGCACTTAGTGTGTTCTAGAGACTGCGCTAAGAGCTAGGGAAACAAATACAAGCAAATAACACAATCCCTGCCCTCAAGGAGCTTACATTCTACTGGGAGAAGCCAGTACCTAAAGCGGAGCTAGAAAGCATGGGGAGGAGATACCTAAGAAGGACCCCTGCAAGAGAAGATGAAGTCTCGCCTTTTGGAGCTGGGGATGCAGGGATAGGAGTCCATGTTTCTGGAGCAAGCTAAGGCAGAAGCTCACCTATCTCCTAATAATAATAATTATAACGATAATGTTGACAGTAGCATTTATATAGCACCTACTATGTGCCAGGCACTGTGCATATTTGAGCTTCGCAGCAACTCTGAGAGATAGATGCTATTATGATCCCCATTTTACAGATGAAGAAACTGAGGCAGGCAGAGGTCAAGTGACTTGCCTGGAGTCCCACAGCAGGGTCCTGCTGGAGCCAACATTCTGTGGTCTGTGGGTGGAGGGGAAGCCCCTGATGCCACTGAGGATGAGTGCCCGCCCTAGGCCTGGAGTTGAGACCTCTCTGCTTGGGTTCCCCAACAGGCCACACTGCCTCAGGCCTAAACTTGGACAGGATAGTGGTTAATGTATGCCTACTTACTATGAACCCGCCCCCTCCCCACTGGGGTGGAGACAAAATAAATGCTTGTTAATTGAAAATGTAAATACTAGTCAGTGTTAGAACCTGCATTCTATTTCCATTTGTAAAAAAAATGACGTCTTCGATCTGCCGTGTAGTATATTATACCAGGACAAAAACAGATACGCTCCTTTGTTTTGTAGGAATGCCAGCGCCGGACGAATTACTTGCTGGATGTTTTCATGTTTCCCCCTGAGGATTTAGATTTAAATGCCAGCGTTCTCCTGTGGCCCCGGAACATGAATCCCATCTTCAATGAAAATGATGAGGTAGGTGTGTTTCCAGTGTGTGTGCTCTCAGGGCATTCCTGGTGCTCATGGGGCTTGGCTGGCTGGTCAACTTTTAAAGTAATTTGTCTTGATTTTGAAGGAAAGTCAAAAGAGGGCTGCTAGGGGGCATCATATTGCGTAGGGCCCTGGGCCTGAAGTCAGCAAGACTCATCTTCCGGAGTTCAAACCTGGCCTCAGACACTTAGTAGCTGTGTGACCCTGGGCAAGTCACTTTACCCTGTTTGTCTCATCTGTAAAATTAGCTGGAGAAGGAAATGGCAAAGTACTCCAGTGTTTTTGCCAAGAAAACCCCAAATGGATGCCAACCCTGCCTTTAACACTTATGTGGCCATGGGTAGGCATGTCCTCCCAAGTTCACCTCCTTGATTTCCAGTTTCTTATGCGTAGAATAAGGATAAGATTAACTGAGGGACATATCTCGCAGGATTGTGGGGGAGAACAAAGGGGGAGAATTTTGTAGTGCTTTGCAAACTTTATATGTAAGTGTACATGTACATATATATTTCTACAGATATATCTATATTCTCTGTGTGTGTGTATATATGTGTGTGTGTGCACGTATATATATTAAATGTATATGCACACACACACACTCAATGAAATTGTATGCGTCTCCAACACCCAATATACCTTAAAGCTAATTCATGGCCCAATGACACTTATGTCTGAATTTCACATTTTTAATAAGTATTTATTAAGTTGGTCCCATTTCATCGATGATAGGGTGATTTTTATTCCTCTTAGAGCATTTTTTGAATTGTTTCCTCCCTTATTTTATTTAGGGGTCATAAACTTTAAAGTTAGAAGAGACTTTATTGTGGCTCAGTCATTTTCAGTCTTGTCTGACTCTGACCCCATTTGGGGTTTTCTTACTAATTTTTAAAAAAAATTCAGGATCATATTCAACTTTGCTGGGTAAGCTATTCTTGGATGCAACCCTAGCCCTTTTGTTCTTCGAAATATAATGTTCCAAGACCTACCGTCTTTTAGAGTAGAAGCTGCTAAGTCTTGTGAATATTTTACATTTTTAAAAAATATTGAAGCCTTTTGTTTTTACTCATTGTTTCCCAGTATATCTTACCCTCCCTTGAGACAATATCTACTTCATTCGATTGTCAGCTCCTTGAGGGTAGGGACTGTCTTTTGCCTTTTTGTATCTGCAGTGCCTGGC